CCGGATCCCTGCCCTGGCCTGCGCTGCTGGCCAGCCCGGCTCTCTCCGCTCAGGTGCACACACCAAACCGACCCTTCCCGTAACGCCTGGGCACCGAGCGCCCGAGGCAGCCCAGACACATCCTGGCAGGATGAAGGGTGCCTGGGGCACCGAGCAGCGCTCAATGCTGGGGTCTCTCTTGTAGGGGGTCATGGTAGTAGCATAAAGGAGCTGTGGGGGCAGGTGCTTGGGCAGCTGCACCACAGGTGGCCTTCAGCAAGGAGGGCACACGTACCTGGCTGAATAGCTCCAGTGCCTTGGGGCTGCCATTCCTCAGGGCAAGGAAGTGGCGCAAGGGAGCAAACGGCAGAGCAGGGATAAGGGAAACAGGCTTTGGGGGCTGGCAAAGAAGAAGCTGCTCTGGATACAGTCAAACCATTTTTTGCTGGGGCTCTGCTCGTCTACACGGCCTGTGCTCCTGAGCGGGCAAGGCCTGGCCAGCCGGCAGAGCAGGTCCATGCGTGGTGAGGGAAAGCAGGAGTCACGGCCACAGGTGAAATGAATGAACTGTGACTGACGATCAGGTCCCACAGGATGCGATGCAGCTGGGGGGAAGACCCCTGGCAACAGGAGCCTCCAGGACGCGTACGTAGCTGACTGGTCTGCACAGCTTGGAGCATGAGGCTGTGCTAACCCAGCCAGCACTGCTGGGCAAAGGGAAAAGTCCTTGCGTTGTTAGCTGCAGGTCTCGGGGTCCTGACAGCGCGTGTGTGTATCGCAAGCTCTGCAGATTAGGGGAACTTCTCATGTCATCACTTGCAACCTTTCCCCTGCTTCTTTTCCAGCACTCGAGCTATGTACAATTCTTGCTGCTTCTGTATCTTTAACTCAGACGCTTGAGTCCTGCCAAAAATGAAACAGTCACAGTTTAAATGATCACAGATGCAAGGAGTGGCAAGAAAACACTGATGGCTGCTGGGTGGCTGGAAAGCACCGCTGCACGCTCGGGCTTCCATCTCCTTCCCGGGCACCACTTGGCATGGACGGAGACAGGACACAGAGCGTCTGGCACAGCACACCCAGGACTCGTTCCTGCTCCGCAGGCCCACTCCAAGGAAAAACCGGTCTTCCTACCAGTATTGCAGCATGCACTGAGGCTGCCAACAACTTGCTGGGAAGATACGCACGTGAGTGCCTGCTTCTGCCGGGCAAGGCAGCGCTGCAGCGCCTGGATCTCCTTCTCCTTGTCCTTCAGCGCATCCTCCTGCTTCAGGACGTGGCTTTTTATTTCTACAGCGAAAAGAGAGGGAAAGCCAAGGCCAAGATCCTTGGTGCGGGTCTCACCCATTTAGCTCATCCTCCTACAAGGCACTAAGGCACCAGGATTTTAGGGGAACAGCCTGCAAAACAGCAGCAGAACAGTCAGGAAAGGCTGTGCCTTCGCCTTGGCTTTGAGCAGGGAGTAACCCCGCACATGATGCCTGCTCCAGTCCTGCCGTTCGTGTGTTCACCTGAATTACTTCACACACGAGTTCCTGCCTTCTAGCATGAGTGCTCAGAGCTCCACACGAAGCACACAGCAGGGCATGGCGGGAGGTCAGCACATGCAGGAAACAACGGATGGAGCAAGGCTGAGCTCTCCCGCCACCAGCCTCGTCCCGGAGGGAGCTGCTCTTGTGGCTCCCACTGCCAAGCCCAGGCGGGAGGACACAGCTGGTGGCGCAGAGCTGGGTCGCTGGTGAAACCCGCGCGTTGCAGCCCCCTTCTCTGGGTGAGCTCTGGCACTCGTGGCACCGCCACCGCAGTCGGCTCCGTGTCACGTGCTGTCCCACAAGGCCACCTGCAGCAGCAGCCTCCACCAAGCTCCCATCCCCGCCAGAGAAGAGCAACCGCCTTCTCCTACACGGGAGCCCTGCCTGCGTTCTCCCCTGCGCGATCCCAGCTGCGGCGGCCTCGGGCAGCGAGACGTGCCCACATGCAGCCCACGAGCGGGAGCCCTGCTGAGGAGGGCGCCTGCACCTGCACGGGGCGCTCTCTTGGCAGCACGCAGTTAAATCAGAGAGCTAGCCTGGCTAATCCTGATTTAAACCCCTGATTTACATTTGTACCTGAGCCAGCGTGAGAGTGCCTGGCAGACTTACCATTGCATTTGCTTATTAACTTGTCTTTCTGCGTCAGTTCTGTAAGTGCTTTACTCTTAATGCTGCCAAGCCTGAAAGAGAGGCAACAAAGAGGAAGCTGAAGGCGCTCGGTGGCTGCCGAAGGCACAGCTCGCCTCTCCCAGGCTGCGGCTACATTTTGCAACTCCAGAAGAGTAGGAAACAGAGGCCCAAGTTGGCTGCCTCTGAGGTTCACTGGGCATCCGAAACATCCAAAAAAAAAAAAAATCTCAAGCACGTTGATACCCAAGTATCTGGTGAGCACTCCTAGGGCAGGGGCAGATGGCCGGGCTGGGCCAGGCTCACCCCGCTAAGGGATCTGCATGCGCAGCCTTTCAGTCCACACAGGCACTCAAGGACTTCCCGGCGCTGCTGTCCTGCCCTCGGCCCTGATCCCCTCACAAGGTGGTGGCGCTGGAAAGCGGCCAAGCCGTGCGCGGACCAGCGGGGACCGCGCAGGGCAGACCAGGGCTCGTCTTCTGGGACTTCCACCCGCTATCGGGGCAGGGTCTGCGTTCTGGACACCCGTAAGTAGGAGACCGGCCAGCCAGACAGCATGAATGTGCTCTTCTCTGCTGCCGTAACAGCCGCGGGGTCTCGTCCTGCTCTAAGATTTCTGCGTGCACAGGGGCTGCGGAGGCACAGGCCTCTTTCCTGGACCTGAGCTGCTCTGAACCTCTCTGTCCCGTGGTGTGTCCGTGCCCGCAGCGCCGCTGCAGACATGGCAGCCGCCTCCGCTATGGAACCGGGGATGTTTTGGCCGGACCCTGAGCTCACGTTTCCTCAAAGATCCTCTTTTCCCTCTGGAGCTGCCGGGACAAAATCTCCACTTCCCCCAGCGCTGAGTCCAGCTTCTGTGACTCCGTGGCGAGCAGGGCCTTGGTCCTGGCGTGCGCGCGCTGCTCCTCCTGCAACGCGCTGCCCTCGTGCCAGCCCGGCTGCATGCCGGGGAGGGTTCCCTTCCCCTCCTGCCCACCCCCTTGGAGACCCTCTGCCCACAGCGCCACTGCACGCGGCAGCGAGCTCCAGGGCAGAGGGCCACGAGGGTGAGCAAGGAGCCTGCTCGGAGCCTCAGCGGGCCAGGAGAGGCTCCCCTGGCTCAGGCCCGTGCGGCAGCACTGCTGGGGCTCCTCAGGGCCGCTCGTGCCTAATCCTGCAGGAGCAGCCGCTGTGCCAGGCCGAGCCCCCG